CCCTGCGAAGAGGCTGCAGCGCCCGTGCTGTGGTGTCCCCGCTGCTGCCAGCGGGCGCTTTTCCTCCCCGTCCGGGCTCCCCAGAGGTGCTAGGGTTGCGGTTGCCTTCTCCATGTGTCCCTGGGTGCAGGCAGGGAGTCCGGGGCAGGCGTCCTTGTGCAGCCCGGGCAGCTCCTGGTGTCACTGGGGATGTGGCTGTGTCCCAGCCTGGCGCTCGTGCACCGTGTCCTGTCCCCTTTGGGACAGGCACAGGCAGCCTGTGCTTCCAGCCGTGTTCACTGTCCACATCCACCTCGGTTCTGTTGTAGAAATAACTTGGAAGTCCCAATCTGGCTGGCACGTGCAGCCCTGCCCTCAGTGCTACCCTTAAAACTAGCAGAACACCCCTGAATTTGCAAAGCATGAGGACGTTTGCGCTCCCACAATTGCTTCTCCACTACCCCGAACATTGCGGCCACTTTATACCTGTACAGGAGGGATCGAGTGCCCGCGGGGTGCACGTCCAGGCCCGAGTCGTGGGGGTGCTCATGCCTTTTAGGGGCTTTGCAGGCTCTGTTCCGTCCCCCCTGCACTGCCTGTGGAGGGGAAGGGAAGGCAGAGGGGGATTTTCTCCAGTTTCACCATAGGAAGGATTTTCAAACCCTGTAAATTCACTTTTGACAAGCAAACGGCTAAAGCAGATTAACCTTTTTGCTAATCCTCTATAATGGCTTTGGAATCTCCTTAACCAATAAGAAAATGATAAGAGCCTGTTTCTTTCTTTTTTTATCTATATCTATATTGTCCCCTCTTGTCTGCATTTTTTTCTTTCTTGTTTTATTTTCCATTTCTTTTCTAGTATGAAATAGCCCAGCGATCCTATCTCCTGCAGGCTCAGTAAACAGAACATCAATAATCCCTTTCCTTTATTCCTCCCTGGTAACAGGGTGCAGAGAAGTGTCTGCCGATTGGGATTTGATTACCAGCAGCTATCAAAAGTCTCTTTGTAAGATCTGGGTCCTAAATCCCATAATTCTTTGATAAAAGAAGTATTACCAGTCCATTTTCTGAAGTGAAAGGTATGGGACAAATGAAAGAAAGCAATCAGCAGAGATACTAATAGGCTAAGTGCATGTGCAGTGCGAAGGCAGGGCAAGCAGGGGAAGCAGGGAAAGGCGGCTTTTGTTACGGATGGGGAATGAGAATTAATCTGCTTGGGGCGTGTGGTTATTGCAGCTGGGAGCAGAGGGTCGGATCCTGCTTGCCCACAGTCCATCTGATCCCAGCTCGCCGGCCTGGGCCTGCCCAGCGGGCGGGAGAGCGGAGCCAGGGCACCTCCATCCCCTGCGTCCCTGTTTCAGGCATTTCCATGGAAGCCAGGGAGCAACGCGCAGTGACCAGCGGTGCTAACTCAGTTCTCCTGTGCTAACTCGGTTCTCCGGTGGCACTGGTGTGTCAGCAAGGTAGCAATGAACAGACCACAAGGCTACATTTTCCCTTAAGTCTACAGCAGATATTTACAGATTTATTGAACGTAGCTATAAATTACATTGCAAAATCAGAATAGGTGGACAAGGTAGGAGAAAAAATAATTTAAAAGGAAAAAAGAAAAACACCCTCCTGGCTGCTCTGGACTCCCTGCACAGCGAGCCGCGCTCTCTTCCACAGCCCATGGTGTTTTCTGTCAGGGGCAGCCCTGGCTTCAAGGCCACGTTCCCATGAGAGTGACCGCCGGGCCTTGCTGTTGCTGTTCACATCGAGGCACCGCTCATCCCCTGCCCTTGCAAACTCTGCTGTAGCTGTGAGCAGGGCTACAGCTGATCTGATCCCCTTGTGGGCGGCTATGCAGGCAACTAGACACCGCTAATCTGTGTTACAGAGGTGCCGTGAGCTGCCACTAATCTAATTTGTTAAGGGCTTTGAATCCCCACAAAGCGTATGTTAGACACATGCAAAGCACCTGTATTATTACTGTGATTAAAGCAGTGGAGGTGGGGGAAAGGGGAAGGAGGGAAAATACGATTTCTATGCTCGAAGCAGAAAACAAATCAACTTTCACAGAGAGTTTTGGTGCAGCCAAAGGCTATACTAGCATTAAAAATGATTTTTTATTAAGCTGAACTCTCCTTCTCTCTCATATTGTATGATATGACAGGTCTCTCTTGATGGGAAAGCTTTCATTTGGACAGAGAAAGGGATAATTTGCTTCTTTTAAGGTGTTAATCCTCCGGTCCGTTTCCAGGCTGGGAACAGCTATCCTCCCCCTTCCCTGCATTGGAGGCTCCCGCACAATGGAGATCATAACCACCTCAGACCTATGCCGGAGATGGAGAAATCAGATTTCCTTCTTGAGTCATTTCTGTGGGATTAGCTAAATCTTAGATCCACACTAACCCTTCACAAAGCTACCAAGATTAGTTAGAATTTATTTTATTCACAGAGGGGTTTATGGTTTTCTGTCCAAAGGGATTATATCTCTCTCTCTATATATATATTTAGGATGGCTTCTGTCATAAAGCAGCTAGGTTAGAACGAACAAAAAGTGTGCGTCAGGGAGTGTATAAAATACAAACTCAGGTGCAGGAATGACAGTCACTCCAAGTCCCAAGGCAAAGCGCTGATGCTGGATGGCTTCGAAGGTCTGCTTTAAAAGCTACCTAAGCGTAAGAGGTCTTTTTCCTTGCAAGATCCCGCTCCACTGCTGATTCCTAGAGGGCCGGCACCGTTTGTGTGCGCTGCCCGTCCCCGCGGCCGCTGCTCCCGGTGCAGGATGTCTTCGGAACCAGCGCCCGGTGTCGGCGGTGGCAGGAGGGGCCCAAAGCTGCAGTGCACGCTCAGCATCGAGAACATCCTCGCCAGCCCGGCGGAGAAAAGCCCCCCGGTCCTGCTGCCCCTGTGCCTCCAGGGGCTCCTGGACTGTGCCCCGACGCGGCTGTGTGGGCGCGAGGGGATCACAGCCGGCTCCCTGCCTGACGACGACGACGAGGAAGAGCTGGAAGCTGCAGGTTGCAGCTGCTGCTGCTGCTCGCACACGAGCGCCCGTTCCCTGCAGGACTCGCCGCGCTGGCTGGGTGAGTGTCGGGCTGCGCTCGCTGCACGCGGCTTGTGCAAGGGGCGTTACAGCGGTGCCCGCGCGGGGCAGGGCGATAAGCCCGGGTTTATAGCAGCCATATAGTGCCTGGCCTGCCGCATTGCCTGGCCAGAGGCAGCTGGACCCGTTCTCAGCACCACTTCTAAGAGCAGGTGTTAAACTGCAGGTGGTATTTGTTACCGGGCATTGCTGTTTTACTGTTCAACACTTAAAGGCAGAGGTGTTCAGGAGTAGAAGTTCTCTGTGCAGCCTGTCCTGGTCATGGTGCCAAGGCACTGAGCCGGGCACTAGCCCTGGGGAACCTAATTTGTCATTAGAAGGACAGATTTTCTGATTGCATCTAGCAAAAAAAAAAAAAAAAAAAAGGTATCAAACCCTTCAAATGTGTTTCGGGCTAAAAAAAAAGCCTTAAAGCCTGAGGGCTCAAAAATCCCCCATTTCATTACTGAAAAGCATCTCTTTCCCCCCTACCTGGGCTGTGGGTTTCCAGTGATTTTCTGGGAGTTGGTCATATTGCAGCTGGTAGGTAAATAAGGAAAACACAGCCTGTGCCCTTCTCCTGAAGTGATGTCCCGAGGCCTTCCCTTGCTGGCTGTGCTCCCTCCTCCCAAGCTACACGTGCAGGTCCCGCTTGAGCAGGGTCTTTATTTCAGCCCTTGGTCTCCTGGCGGTGCTGACTGTGACTCCTCCTTCGCAGACGCCAGGCTGCCCTGGCCCATGCGGCTCTTGCACTCTGCGGTCAGGGCCTGTAAGAGTCCCCAGGGGAGCCCGAGCGAGCGGCAGAGCTTCCAGCAGATCCAGCGCCGGACACGCCGCCATCGCACCATCTTCACCGAGGAGCAGCTGCAGGCCCTGGAAACGCTTTTCCATCAGAACCAGTACCCAGACGTCATCACCAGGGAGCACCTCGCAAACCGCATTCACTTGAAGGAGGAGAGGGTAGAGGTGAGATCCTGCTGTTTGGTGAGGTGCCAGGATGAGTATTTTGTCACTCCATTTGCTACAAAGCACCCCAGTAGAACCCAGTCCCAGGCATTAGTCTATCTTTTTTTTTTTTTTTTTTTCCAGGGCTTCACTTAAAAAAAACTTCTTAGGTATTTAAGAAAACACATCTTAGGTTTGGCATATAACAGAAAAGTATAAAACAGTTCTGCTGGTTTGTTTTATTTTGGTGGCCTAGCCCCATAAACATTCCCATAGATACACCTATATAAACACACACACACAAGCAGGCACCTAATTCTGCTGATACAACTCTGCACCCAGGTCTATCTCTCATTTTTCTGCCTGTAGGATTTCAGTGTTTGCTGTGGGGGTCCCAGCTCCCTTGTGTCCCTTACAGGTATCTGAGCAGGATTGTTTCAAGCAGACTGTGCAGGGGATTTTTATATGGGGAAATGCATGGCAGTATCCTAAAGCTTAGTGCCACACTGTAAGGTCCAGGAATGCAAGTGCCTGCCCCTTAGCAAGCACCAAATGCAGTGCAGAATTCCTCCTTTCGTGTTTTTGGCTTTTTAGGTTTGGTTTAAAAATCGACGAGCAAAGTGGCGGCATCAGAAGAGGGCATCCGCGTCGGCTCTGATCCTCCAAGGCCCCAAGCAGTCCCCGGAGGAGAGCTGCTAGCGGTGTGAGCCGGCACGGGAACCCCGGGAGCACCCGGGGATCGCTCGCCCTCGGGCGGCCGTTCCGCAGGGGCGGCTCGAGGGGAAGCGCCGGTGCCAAGGGGAACCTCCGTGGCCCTGCGGGGGAAGTGCGGGTAGAAGCAGGCAGCGCCTTTCATGTCGCAGTCCTTGCACGGGACAAATAAAGCACAAGCCGTGACCCTGAGGCACCTGAGCCCAAAGCGCACAGCAGTTTCGGGCGTGCGCCTATCAAGAGCCCCCCGCAGCCGCTGCGCTCTGTGCACGTAGTGTTTGTGCTCATTTCGCTACTGTAGATATAAAAAACACCCTGCAAATGAGTGTGCGCTGTTTGTGACACGTGAGCTGCCCCTGGCGCCGATGCGGGAGCTCCCTGAGGTGATTTCCCTGGCAAACACACACGGATTTCCGTGGGCTCCGGCCGGGCGCTCCGCTCCCCCGCGTGTGTTCGTACACGTGAAACGCGATG